CATTTCTCCTAAATATCAGTTCCACCTCTCTCATTTCCTCGTGATTCTTCTGGAAAACTGATAAGAAGTAGCTGTTTAATGCTTAGCTTATTTCCTCACTATCATCCATCACTTCCCCTCTCGACTGTGTGTGTAGAGCAATCAGTGTTCTCTCTCTCTCTGTACAGTTAATTACACTTACACCTGGTACAGTGACTGGTGTGTTTATGATATGTGGCAACTCTGTGTTTGTTTATCTAGCAACTCTACTCTAGCTATTACTGTGAGGTTCTTGGCCATTCGGGAGTTTTAATACCATAAACAAACACAGTGGTGCCACATCACCCAGACACAATCACTGTACCAGATGTCTGAGCAACTGTATATGTTTTAATACCATGTAAACAAACACAGTGCCACATTACCCAAGACATCCACCCACCACCCATCACACACACACACAAACACACATATACACACTCTGCACATACACACACACACACACCTACACACCCTTGTCACGCCTACATAAGCTGAGGTAATCCATAACCTAACCCATAATTGACACTCGTAGTGGTTATGGGGAAGGTGCGCGGCTGGGGAGAGAGAGTGCGGCTGGGGAGAGGGGTGCGGCTGGGGGAGAGGGGGAGGGCTGGGGAAGAGGTGCGGCTGGGGGAGAGGGGTGCAGCTGGGGGAGGGTGAGGCTGGGGAGAGAGGTGCGGCTGGGGGAGGGTGGACTGGGGAGAGTGAGCTGGGGGAGGGTTGAGGCTGGGAGAGGTGCGGCTGGGGAGGGGGTGCAGCTGGGAGAGGGGTGCGGCTGGGGAGAGGGTGAGGCTGGGGAGAGGGGGTGAGGCTGGAGAGGGGTGAGGCTGGGAGAGAGAGGTGAGGCTGGGGAGAGAGGGGTGAGCTGGGGAGAGAGGGGTGCGGCTGGGGGAGAGAGGGGGTGCGACTGGGGGAGAGGGGGTGAGGCTGGGGGAGAGAGGTGGGAGCTGGGGGGTGAGGCTGGGGGAGAGAGAGAGGGGTGCGGCTGGGAGAAGGATGAGAGGGGTGAGACTGTTGTTGTAGAGATAGTGTGAGAGAAGATAGGAGAAAGGAAGTTATAATTCGGAAGTGAAGACGTTTAGGCAGGGGGAGGTAAGGCGGGGGTGACTAAGGGTTGTGTCATGGGTTAGTTATTGTCTGTTGATACTAGAGAGTTTACCCTGTCCCGTACGTGGGTGTTTTGAGGGCCTTAATACCACTAGATTCATTCTTTCCCTTACTCCCCCACTACACACACACACACACACACACACACACACACACACACACACACACACACACACACACACACACACACACACACACACACACCCTCATCCATCTCATCACCCATCCACCCACCCACCCACCACCCACCCACACACACCACCCCACCCCTCCACCCCCACCCCCCTCACACCCCACCCACCCCACACACCCAGCCACCCCCACACCCACCTACCCACCCCACCACACCCCACGCCCTTGGCACTAATTACACCTACCACTTTAAGGTCACCTCACTACAGTGGTCAAGTTTACAGTTTACAGAAATTAAAATCTTCGACTCTCACTAGACAACTAGGTTAGGTTTGGTTAGTGTTAGGTTTGGATTGGGGTAGGTTAGGTTTGGTTAGTGTTAGGTTAGGGTTGAGTTAGTATTAGGTCAGGTTGAGTGTTAGAGTTAGGGTTGGGTTGGGTTAGGTTAGTATTAGGGCAGGTTAGTGTTGGGTTAGGGTTAGGTTAGGTTAGGTTAGGTTAGGGTTAATTGGGTCAGGTTAGTGTTAGGTTAGGGTTAGGTTAGGTTAGGGTAGGTTAGGGTTGGGTTAGGAGTGGGTTAGGGTTAGGTTAGTATTAGGTCAGGTTAGTGTTAGGTTAGGGTAGGTTAGTGTTAGGTTAGTATTAGGTCAGGTTAGTGTTGGGTTAGAGGTTAGGTTGAGTTGGTGTTAGGTTAGGTTAGGGTTAGGTTAGTATTAAGTCAGGTTAGTGTTAGGTTAGGGTTAGGTTAGGTTAGGGTAGGGTAAGTTAGTGTTAGGTTAGGTTAGTATTAGGTCAGGTTAGTGTTAGGTTAGTGTTAGGTTAGGTTAGGTTAGGTTAGGTTAGGTTAGGGTTAGTATTAGGTCAGGTTAGTGTTAGGTTAGGGTAGGTTAGGGTAGGTTAGGTTAGGGTAGGTTAGGTTAGGTTAGTATTAGGTCAGGTTAGGTTATATATGGTGTGGTGGTGTCCCCTCATTTCTCTGTCAACCACACGTCACTTAACACCTGTAATTAAGGTTAATAAACAAGGCTTAATGATTTGTTTATGTAGGTTAATGATGTGTAGGATAATTGGGCTGTTTAGTGAGGAAATGGGTCAATGGTCGTTAAGAGTAGGAGGAGAAGAGGAAGGGAGGAGAGAGGGTAGGTGAGGAGGAGAGAGGAGGGAAGGAGGAAGGAGGCGTAGAAGAGGGAGGGAGGAGAGAGGGTAGGTGAGAAGGAGAGAGGGGGGAAGGAGGAAGGAAGGAGGCGGTAGAAGAGGGGAGGGGAGGAAGGAGGCACAGAGGAGGGAGGAGGCGTAGAAGAGGGAGGGAGGAGAGAGGGTAGGTGAGAAGGAGAGAGGAGGGAGGGAGGAAGGAAGGAAGCGTAGAAGAGGGAGGGAGGAAGGAGGCGTAGAAGAGGGAGGGAGGGAGGGAGGAATAGTAGGGAGCTAGAGTCTAGGTTAGGTTAGGTTAGGTTAGGTTTGGTCCTCTTGTGTATGAACGTCTGTCCTATGTGGCAGTGAACAGTGATAGCACCCACACCTGACTGAATTATTTATATTAGGAAAATTTGTACACCTATCTTGTCATTAGAGTTGTGAAATAATCTCTCTCTCTCTCTCTCTCTCTCGCCACACAAGTGACATAAAAACACGTGACAAAAACGCAACATTTTACACCTGGCCATTAATACTTCCCTGTGTGTGTGTGTGTGTGTGTGTGTGTGTGTGTGTGTACGAGTTGTGTGTGTGTGTGTGTCTTGGCTGAGTTGAACCCTTAATGCCAAACAATGTTGCTCCCTGCGATCTGAGTTTGGTTTGGTTAGGTTAGGTTAGATTAGGTTCACTCAACTGTCTTGTTCGAGGATGGCCGATTCAAGGGCCACCTAGGTGTGAATTTGCTTAAGGTGTAGAAGCTGTCGCCAACACAACAACCACACCCTGAATTATCGAGCTGTATGACCCAGTGTTTCAGGTGTAGAAGTTGTCGCCAACACAACAACCACACCCTGAATTATCGAGCTGTATGACCCAGTGTTTCAGGTGTAGAAGCTGTCGCCAACACAACAACCACACCCTGAATTATCGAGCTGTATGACCCAGTGTTTCAGGTGTAGAAGTTGTCGCCAACACAACAACCACACCCTGAATTATCGAGCTGTATGACCCAGTGTTTCAGGTGTAGAAGCTGTCGCCAACACAACAACCACACCCTGAATTATCGAGCTGTATGACCCAGTGTTTCAGGTGTAGAAGTTGTCGCCAACACAACAACCACACCCTGAATTATCGAGCTGTATGACCCAGTGTTAATGAATAGTACGAGAAGACCGGACAACTCGCCAACTGCACTGGCTAACCATTATCCCAGAACACGACCCGTAAATCAATTAACATCCAGGTCCCATTTACCTGTACTCATGCACACATACACACACACACACACACACACACACACCATCCCTGGACTGAAGTACTTAGCGTGGATGACGTGGACACCAAATGGATAAATTATACCAACACCTCCACGGAAGCTCACCACCACTTCTTCCCCGAGAAGTCCGTCAGATCTCACCCAGCTGACTTGCCCTGGATCACACCTCGGATCAAAAGACTTATGCAACAGAGAGACAGAGCCTTTCATCTCAATGACCACAACCGCTACCAGTCCGTTCACAACCAAGCCATCCGTGAAATAGGTTTAGGAGGGAGATAGGAAGAAACTGGTTCACAAATAGGGTGGTGGACGAGTGGAACAAGCCTAGCAACTTTGTAGTAAGTGCTGGAACTCTGGAAAGTTTTAAAAGGAGGCTAGATAGATTCATGGATGATAGAGTGTGGTAGTAACTCTCGACAGGAGCTGCCATGCACAGGTCAACCGGCCTATCGCAGACTCCTTTTTTCTTATGTAAATACGCACCGCAAAGAGGTCTCACTACTCAACCATTGCAACACCTGAAGCAGACCAACAACAGCTTAAAAAACTGTGGACTAAACAATAAGACACACCCCCTCCCCTTCCTTAGCCATCTCACTAATGGTGACGCAGCTGAGCAATCAAACAACCATTTCGCTACTATATGCCAGACGCTCCCCCGGCTTGACACAACCACTCTCCCTGCCTACCTACCAGCTCCCTTCCCACTGACTTAGTAGAAGAATTTGACGTAGCAAAACGTCTGGACAAACTGAAGTTAAGGCGCTCCACCACCCCATTGACTTACCAATGAAACTCTACAAGGAGTTCTCCCCGGGGCTTACTAAACCCCTCTGCTCCATCATCAATGCTTCCCTCAGACAACCAAGATGCCCAGCTGACTGGAAGACCTCATATGTGGCACCAGTGCCCAAGTCAACCAGCCCACAATCATTAAACGAGGTACGACCCATTGCAATCACCCTAATACTCAGCTTAATCCGTGAAAGTTTCATTTTTGACTGGGCCTATGCTGATATTCAGGCGCCATAGATCCTCAGCAATATTGGAAAACACACAAATCCTCCAGCTTTCGTCTCCACCTCCTCGTCCATCGTCTCAAGTCACTCGGAGTTCCCAAGCCCAAGTTCCTCAGTGCTTACTCACCATACCAACTTAGCCTCACTTTTTGGCACAAGTGAATGATGTGGTTTGCTGACTCTCTACCAGACAGCTAATTAATCCCGTCACTACGCCAGACGATTTTATACAGGTGGGGGAAGTTCCATCTCGTATTCAAGGGTTAAACAAATCTTAACTGCTTTTACATGGTAGAAATGTGACTTACCTTTCATGCTCTGAGCTCTCTTGACGGAGGAACCAGACTTCTTCTTTGTCCTGACGGTGGTAGAGGACCCGCTTGTAGTAGTAGTAGCAGTAGTAGGAGTGGTTCCCGAGACACTAGACGTCACTGTGACTTCCTGATACACTACACAAGTCTTCGGGGGCGCGGCTTTATTAAAATCAATAAACTCGAATTCACTCTCAGCGTCAGACCAGGTGAAGGAAAGTGTATCATCTAATATAACTCTGTCCCCCACTTGAGCCGTGTTGCCACCAATACTATGAGCACTGACCACTACATCACCTGGACCACGAAGAGTTGCATCACTATTTTCTTTGATTATTAAGGGTGTCGTAAGTTTCTCTGGCATGATGGCATCACCACCCGACTGTGAATCACCGTCAGTCTCTGGAGGGTTTAAATATTTATCCCCCAGGAGATCTTGAAACGTCTTAGGTGATTCGTGGTGATTATCCGGGGTGTGAGGGGAGTTGGTGAGGGTTCTGCAAGGTGTTGAGGCCGCAAGGGGACCCACATGCGATGCAGAGAGCGATCTTAATCTCGGTTTCTTCTTGATCTTTGTTGGAGATCTATGCCCACCGGATTTACCTAATTTAGGGGTAAATAACTCGTAGTCTAAGTTATCAAGATCAGAATCTGTCTCGGAGAAGGATTCAAAGTCTTCATTCTGCCTGATGTCATCGTCGGAAAATGACTCCGAGAGGACCTGGACGCTGCCTTTATTCTTGAGGTGAATCTGTACGTCGTTGTGACTCAAACTCTTCTTCACCTTCACCTCGCCTTTACCCCTGGCCTCGGTACCTCCTGCGCCTCCTCCACCTTCTTCGGAAGTAGATGAAAACCTCGACAACCTGAGGCCAATCTTGTCGCGCAGTTTGGGTACGAAAGGAGACGCCGAAGGATAGGAATACCTCGTCGGACGCTTAGGTGCATCTGAAGACATCTTGGGTTTCTCACTAACACCTGTGTCTGTCTCATCAACTCTATCCTCCACTGGGTCACAATCACACTTTGCTTCCTGTACCGTCAGCGTAATACCTTCGTCTTGTGATCGAAGCACCGGTAGCCTTGTTCGCGGATGACTTAAATTCTGTTTAAACTTCATATTCTCGTCTTGTGTGATGGTGATAATGGTGATGCTACTCGGTGACGTTGAACTCTGACACGCGGGATTCCTGCGTTCGATCTCATCCGCCGAGTTATCACTATCGTCAATAAATGGAATCGAATCAGTGGAACCTAAAGGCCTTTCATTCTCTTTCGTCTTCCTCTTAAGTCTCGCTTGGGTAGCCGTCATACGTGTCAGTGCCAAGGGATTCTGCCCCACGAAATTGATAGATTCATACAAGTCTTCATCCTCTTTAGTAGTTTCTGAAACCTTTACTGGGACACCTTGAAGCTCTTGTTCTTTAACTCTCCTAATTACCTGATAATTCTCATAATTTTCATCATCATCTGTGATTACTTTCCCATCCTTAGTCATCCTAATTACCTGGTAGTTCTCGTACGTGTGTTCATCATCCTCCTCCTCCTCCAAGGCCTTTCTAAACACCTGACATACGTAGATAGCTTCCACACACTGGTCGTTCTCCAAGTACTCCTCAGTGGCGGGTCGGGCCTCGTATATAAACCTGATCTCACCAGTCCCTTTCTCTGCTTTCTCAAGGCTGTAGTACCCTCCCTCTGGTTCATCTTCGTCGTCTTTCTCATTATCTCTCTCTCTATTATCGGTTTTTATCTTGTCTCTACCTTCACCATGATCAAACTCCCCGATTTTGGCCGATTTTCGTCTTCCTCGTGATCGGCAGTATGCGTCTTTATCGTTTATTTCACAGTCGTTTTCTCCTCTTTCTTGTTTCTTCTCTTCTGGTTTATCATTGGCCGTTTTCTCTTCGTCTTTGGTTTGGTCGTTCTCTTGTTTCTGGCCGTCAACAGGATTGCCGATAGCCGATGCGTTGCCTCTGTTTACCTTCCCACTTGTCGGTAACGGGATCTTCGACGCCGCGGACTTACGAGGGCGTGAAGCGGACCTCGATCTTCGTGGTTTTTCCGGCGGCTCTTCCACCTTGACCTCACCAACTTGGGAGAGGTAGAGGTTATCAGTGGCACTTACACTCCGCGATCTGGAGGCTGACCTCAACCGGTTCTTCTTATCGCTCGAAGAAAACCCCAACTTTTCCAGATTCTCGCTGAGGAAAGTTGTAGGCCGGTCACTATGGCTACCTAGACTATGACGATGCTTCTTACCATCTCCTCTGCCACTTAACACAGATCTGTCACTCTTACTACTCACTAAGGATCTTTCTCCTTCACTCCCTGGCGTATATATCTGATCTTTCTTCTCACTTTTCTTCTTGTCTTTATCTCTTTTACCACTTGTTTTCTTCTTTCCTCCCACGTCAATATCTTGGAACGACACGCCCGAGATCGCTTTATACACCGTTGTCTTCCTCTGAGCCAACATGAAGTGTGAAGGTGAGAAGACTTTGTTTATCACAGGGACGAGTCTCTGTCTGACTCCCGTTCCTTCCCCCTCATTCTTCTTCCCCTTTGAGGACGACCCATTAGAGAGATACACCTTGAATTCATTACTAGCATCCATAGTGAGTAATTAAACCCAAATTCCTCGTCAGGGTTAATGACTCCAGGGCCTTAACTACTGCGAACTACTTTGTCTATATAACGACATGGTGTCCCCTCCAAGATTGACTAGTCACCAGATGCATTACTACGGTCTTGACGTCATTGCCATGGTTCTAACGTCACTTGTTACAAAACAGTGTGGTGATTGGTCGGATTTTTTCTGAAGGAGGAAAACCAATTGCACCTGCGTCGACTATGACATCCTTAACGAGGTGAATCTTGAAGGAGGCGCTGATGGGGCTTCTGTGGCTGGGTGCATCATGCCTCCACTTCCTCCTCCTCTTCCTCCTGGGAAAAGAGAAAAATATTTATGTTCAATGGACGAAAATTGTCTGGTGTTTTTCTCGTCCTGTGATACACACACACACACACGTTCACACTTGCACATAAACACACACACACACACACACACACACACACACACACACACTCCGTCTCCAGCCTTCATAGGGTGAGGACGTCGGCGCTGCCCGTCGTCTCTTGGCCATGGAGACAGCTGCCAGCCTGGTCTGTCGGGCCCTCCCCTGCCCCACCTCCCTCCCCTGCCCCACCTCCCTCCCCTGCCCCACCTCCCTCCCCTGCCCCATCTCCCTCTCCCCATCCTCACTCCAACAGTACAGTGCAAAGATTGACCCACAAGTGATATACAATAGTGACAATTTCAACTGGAAAGAAAGAAACGACTGTTAGAGCGACAATCAGTGCTTAGCGGTCAATGTTGACCTGACCGGACCAGACACACTCACCACCACCAACACTGGATGAGAAGCAAAGAAAGATTCATAACTACACCAGGAGACAAATGATAACTCCCTACTCCACCCAGGTGAGGAACAAGAACCTTTTCCAACACCCTGGAGGACCTACTCGACCAGGTGTATGATGCAACGGCCGTGGGCATCAGGTCACAAGTCCAGCTCAAACATTACCAGATCTATAGTTGATCTATATGTTGACTCCTTGTTTCTTATATATTTGAATTGAAAGATTTTGTCAATCAAGTGACCACACTCGACGCCTACACCATATGTAACCTATCGGTGATGTTCTGACCTCACTAGAGGAAAGGTCGCTTAGCTCCAGAGGATTAATTGTCAGTAATGGCTAGTGCTACTTGTGAACAGAGCTGTGCCCTTTAGAGGGCCGAGTTAGAGAGGGCCAAGGAAGAAATCTTGAAATTAAAAGAAGTGATAGCTAGGATGGAGGAAGAAACGAGACAAGGAAAACAGGTGTCTGACGAAAACTCGGGCGAATGGAAGGTTGTGAGGAGAGGGACGACCAAACTGGTGGTGAGATGACAACAACAGCTAAGTGTACCAACTCTTTCAGTCCTTTGATAGACGAATTGGACGTTTGCATAGTCAGGGACAAGGCTGACAAGGAAGGTACGAAAACCTTAATTGTTGGCTATTCCCAGGTATGGTACCTGGACAAAACATTTTGTGGTAAAAATAAAAATAGTATAGTGAGCTTTGTCAGATCAAACTAGAGCCAGTAGAAAAACATACACCTATGAGATTGTTGTTTGTAAATGTGAGACTATGTTATCGCCCCAGGGAGTATCTTTGATACCACACGTGATGTTGATGTCTATATGTGACATCAGTCTCTGTGATGAAGCTTTGGTCTTGGCGGGAGGTGTAATGATTAATTGTCAGACCAAAGCTTACAGCCCAGAATTATGTCACATATAACAGCGAGTACACTACAGACCTCATGGTACCACCACATACCAGGTGGGCACACACCAAGACCCAAGGGACCCGACCTCGCCGCTAATGTCTTGAATTAGCAGGGGCTTGACTTACAACTCACCTAACCAAGACACCTGGGCATGACCACACCTGCACACAGCTACCCAGACCTAACCAGTTTAGTGTTAATTGGTTAGAGGTCAAAAGCCGGCTGGGCCGACCCCATATAAAGGCCCTACAGTCCCGGCCACGATCATTCTGATTATCATGGTGATTCTCATACGACTATCATTCAGAGGTTGGTCATTGAGAGGTCAGTCTGGTCACTGGCACAGAGTCACGCTCGTCCCGTCCCCCTCAGGTCGGGGGGAGACTTCACGACGCCCCCAGCTAAGGAGAGTCCCGCATACGAGAGCCCAGTCAACACCCACTGGGCCTACGTCAGGTGTACAGGTGAGTCATGGTCAGAGCAATCTCTAGGGTGAGTTACCTACTGTGGGAAGTGTATTCATTCAGGTGTGTCCGAGAGTCAGAGTCGAGTAACGTAAAACAAAATGTGTTAGTACCCCGATATAATAGTGATATTCATGTGTCCATGTCATTAAGTGAAATAATAAATTGTTGTATCGAAGAGGCGTTTGAGAAGTTGTCCCTTTAAGAACGTAATATATGTGTATTGACATACGAGATAAGATAAGCGTATTGACGCTGAGTAAATAACATACGGCCACGCTACCCAACCTTCCTATCTATACATTCCTACTCTCTATACTTCCTGCTTATATGTAATATCTTCTTCTGTGAGTTATGTCTCATTATAATAGGTTGAGGGTGTGTTTGCCAGGGGCTGGGATGGGGGATACAGTTGACAGGACAGACAATATCTTATCTGGTAATGGGAACAAACCCATTATCTGCCTCAGTGCAGGAGGCAATGATATTGGCCGGTGTAGGAGCGAGGAGCTTCTTGATAAGTTCAAGGCAGCTATAGAACATATTAGGACTAAGGGAGGGATCCCTATCATATGTGGTGTCCTGCCTAGAAGGAAAGTTGGCAATGAATGGTTGTCAGGGCAGTTGGTGTCAACGGCCGTCTTGACAGATATTGCAAGTAAATATCCGTTCCATTCATTGACAACTGGGACAGCTTCTATGGCAGAAGGGACCTTTATGCTAGGGATGGGGTGCACCTGTCTAGGGATGAGGTGGCAACCCTGGCTGGCTCTCTCGAGAGGCCAGTTCAAAAGATGTCGAAGTCTTTAAACTGCTAGGGGAACATATGGGCACAGGGGTAGAGGAAACTGCAGTGGGAGGGGTAAACAAAGTGAAAGATTACAGGGAAATAGTGTTAGGAATGATGACAAAACTAAATTAGACAGGGAGTTAAAACCTAAACGGGTAAAGGGGAGGACTCAGAACACCATTAACTTAAATGTATACTACGCAAACAGTAGAAGTATGAGAAACAAAATGGATGAAATCAGGGCGTTGGTATGTACCGAAAAATTATATAATAGCATTCACTGAAACATGGATAATCCTAAACTCACGTGAGTTACCTGTGAGTTACCGGTCGAATTCCAAATTGCAGGTTACAAATTATTCCATACCGATAGGCAGACCAGGAATGGAGGCAGAGTAGCAATCTATGTCAGGGATAATCTGAAGTGTGAAATAAATAAGGAAATAAAAACTGAACGGAATACAAAAACAATTTGGATATAATTAATCGATGGTAGGGAAAAATTAATCACAGGAGTAATATATAGACCTCCTAATATAGTTAATGAGCAACTTATTTGGGATGAAATGCGCAGGGCTTCCATACACAACAAAGTCTGTATAGTAGGCGACTTTAACTTTAGCCAAATAGATTGGATTGACCTTACGGGTAACTCAGAATCAGAGGATTTTCTTGAAACAATCCAGGACTGTTCCCTAAGTCAACATATAACCGAACCCACACGGGGTAATAATATACTCGATTTAGTTCTGTCAAACAGAGAAAACCTCATTAGTAATGTCGAGGTAGGGAACGAATATGCAAACAGCAATCACAAAGAAATTAGATTCCAGTTAGATTTTCAAGTCAGACGTAAGGAAAATTCCATTAAAGTCCCAGATTTCAGAAGGGCAAACTTGGATAGTTTGTAGAGGCAGTTGAGAGAAGGGGTATCACGCTTGGGGGTGAATTACATGACCTCACATGAGGTGACCTCACACAATGTGCCCACAGAGGACGACCTCTCCTTACCTGGAGACCTGACGGTTGAGGATGGCCTGATCACAAGATCTGAGGTTGCCGACTTCCACGACAATTTAAATAACGAGTTATTTAATGCACAAAAGCAGAACATACCATACAGAAAACTCAGATCAAACAATAATGACCCTAAATGGATAAATAATTATTTAAAGAATATTAATGGACAAAGGAAGGCTATAGGTAGGAGAATAAACTGTGGTGAAGTTTACCTCCGAGATTATTTTAAGGTATTGGCCGGTAGGGTTAAGACCGAGATAAGAAAATCAAAAAGGAATAATGAACTGAAGGTAGCAAGGGAGGCGAAGGCAAACCCCAAGGGATTCTATCAAATGTATCAAAATATTGGACCATTACAGTCAGTTACCGGCCAGCTAACTGATAACGACGGAGAAATAAGCAAGAATCTGAATAAATATTTTTCAACGGTTTTCACCACCGAAAATTTAAACATGATACCCGAGGCTCCGACTCTATACAGAGATAGTGAAGAAAACAAACTAAGCGAGATAGTAGTGACTAGTAACGATGTTAGTACACAAATAGACAAACTAAAGCCTAATAAGTCACCAGGTCCCGATGAAATATTTACCACAGTATTAAAGGAATGTAAGGAAGAGCTTAGTATGCTCTTAGCAAAGTTGTTTAACATGTCATTAAAAACGGGTGTAGTACCAGAATCCTGGAGGATAGCGAATGTAATACCGATTTTCAAGAAGGGAGATAGACTATCCTCTAACTATCAACCAATCAGTCTAACATCAATTGTAGGCAAATTACTGGAAGCAATCATTTCAAACTCTATTCGAAACCACCTGGAAAAGCACAAGTTGATCAATGATTCCCAACATGGCTTCACAAGCGGGCGTTCATGTCTAACTAATCTATTAACATTCTTTTCATCAGTTTTCGAATCGGTGGACGAGGGGCACAATTATGATGTGGTATATCTCGACTTTAGCAAAGCCTTCGACAGAGTCCCCCACAAAAGACAAATTAGAAAGGTAGAAGCTCATGGCATCAAAGGTGACATCCTTAAATGGATTAGGGCGTGGTTACAGGACAGGAAACAGTGAGTGAGCATTAACTGCACTAAATCCGATTGGAGCAGCGTCACTAGTGGAATTCCCCAAGGCTCAGTACTTGGACCATTATTATTTATTATATACATAAACGACATAGATATCAGCATAGACAGCAACATAAGTAAATTTGCTGATGACACTAAAATAGGACGTGTAATTAAATCTGACGAGGACTCCGTAAAACTACAGGAAGATCTAAACAAATTTTTCGAATGGTCTGAAAAATGGCAGATGAAATTCAATGTGGACAAATGTAAAGTACTCAGTATAGGATATGTGAACAGGGAAACCAGATGAACAATGATGTTATTGAGAAATCCGACTGCGAGAGAGATTTAGGAGTAATGATAAGTAGGAATCTTAAGCCAAGTAAACAAAGTGCATTTGCTCGTAATAAGGCTAATAAAGTACTTGGGTTCATACAAAGGAGTGTTAGTTACAAGACTAGCGAGGTCATCTTGCTTTTGTGAGACCTCACTTGGATTACGCAGTTTAATTCTGATCACCGTATTACAGAATGATATAGAATCCTTGGAAAGAAATCAGAGGAGAATGACAAGACTAATCCTGGGCATTAGTAACCTTGAGTACAGAGACAGGTTAAAGCATCTTAACTTGCACTCCCTCGAGAGAGGTAGAGCGAGGGGCGACATGATCGAGGTGTATAAATGGAAGTCAGAGCTAAACAAAGGGGACATTACAAAGGTACTCAAACTATCCAACCAGGAGCGAACTCGCAACAATGGTTTTAAATTAGACAAATTTAGATTTAGGCGCGAAATAGGTAAACACTGGTTTGGTAACAGAGTAGTGGGTGAATGGAACAAGTTACCAAATATCATCATTAACTAGAATACGCTGAATAGCTTCAAACACAGGTTGGATGCTTATATGAGCAATAGGGGTTGGGTGTAAATGGGACTGCCCAGTATGGGCCAATAGGCCCGCTGCAGTTTCCTCCATTCTTATGTTCTTATCACTATATAACCATGATCACTATATCACCATCAACTCCACACCAATCAACACCATCACTATATAAACACCATTATATCACCCATCACTATATAACCACCATCACCATCATCACTATATAACCATCGACACCATCACTATATCACCACCATCACTATATCACCACCATCACTATATCACCACCATCACTATATAACCACCATCACTATATAACCATCATCACTATATCACCATCATCACTATATCATCACCATCACTATATCAACACCATCACTATATAACCACCACCACTATATAACCACCATCACTATATAACCATCATCACTATATCACCATCACCACTATATCATCACCATCACTATATCATCACCATCACTATATCATCACCATCATTATAACATCACCATCATCACTATATCATCACCATCACTATATAACCACCATCACTATATCACCACCATCACTATATCACCACCATCACTATATCACCACCATCACTATATCACCACCTTCACTATATCACCACCATCACTATATCACCATCATCACTATATCACCATCACTATATAACCACCAACACTATATCACCACCATCACTATATCACCACCATCACTTTATCACCACCATCACTATATCACCACCATCACTATATAACCCATCACTATATCACCACCATCACTATATATCACCACCATCACTATATAACCACCATCACTATATAACCACCATCACTATATAATCACCACCATCACTATATAACCACCATCACTATATAACCACCATCACTATAACCACCATCACTTTATCACCATCACTATATAAACCACCATCACTATATAACCACCATCACTATATAACCACCATCCTTTATCACCACCATCACTATATAACCACCCAAAACACCATCACTATATAACCACCATCACTTATCACCACCATCACTATATAAACACCATCACTATAACCACCATCACTATATAACCACCATCCTTTATCACACCATCACTATATCACCATCACTTTATCACCACCATCACTATATCACCACCATCACATATCACCACCATCACTAAACCACATCACTATATACCATCACTTTATCACCACCATCACTATATAACCACCATCACTATATAACCCATCACTATATAACCACCATCACAACCACCATCACTATATAACCACCATCACACCATCCCATCATTAACCATCATCACTATACCACCATCACTATATAACCACCATCAATATAGACCCACCATCACTATATAACCACCATCACTATATAACCACCATCACTATACCACCATCACTTTATCACCACCATCACTATATAACCACCATCACTATATATCACTTATCACCACCATCACTATATCACCACCATCACTATATAACCACCATCACTATATAACCATCATCACTTTATCACCACCATCACTATATAACCACCATCACTATATAACCATCATCACTTTATCACCACCATCACTATATACCACCATCACTATATAACCACCATCACTATATAACCATCATCACTTTATCACCACCATCACTATATAACCACCATCACTATATAACCACCATCACTTTATCACCACCATCACTATATCACCACCATCACTATATAACCATCACACTATATAACCACCATCACTATATAACCACCATCACTTTATCACCACCATCACTATATCACCACCATCACTATATAACCACCATCACTATATCCCATCACATACCCCATCACTATATACCACCATCTATATAACCACCATCCTATCCACCATCACTATCCACCATCACTATACCACCACTAACACCACCATCACTATAACCATCACTATACAACCACCATCACTTTATCACCACCATACTATATAACCATCACTATATAAGCACCATCACTATATAACCACCATCACTATATAACCACCATCACTATATAACCACCATACTATATAACCATCTATATAACCACCATCACATATAACCATCATCACTATATAACCACCATCACTATATAACCACCATCAATATAGACCCACCATCACTATATAACCACCACCACTATATAACCACCATCACTATATAACCACCATCACTATATAACCATCATCACTATATAACCACCATCACTATATAACCACCATCACTATATAACCATCATCACTATACAACCATCATCACTATATAACCACCATCACTATATAACCACCATCACTATCTAACCACCATCACTATATAACCACCATCACTATATCACCACCATCACTATATATAACCACCATCACTATATAACCACCATCACTATATAACCACCATCACTATATAACCACCATCACTTATATCACCACCATCACTATATAACCACCATCACTATATAACCACCATCACCTTTATCACCACCATCACTATATAAACACCATCACTATATAACCATCATCACTATATAACCACATCACTATATAACCACCATCACCTTTATCACCATCATCACTATATAACCACCATCACTATATCACCACCATCACTATATAACCACCATCACCTTTATCACCACCATCACTATATCACCACCATCACTATATCACCACCATCACTATATCACCACCATCACTATATAACCACCATCACTATATAACCACCATCACTTTATCACCACCATCACTATAACCACCATCATAAGCACCATCACTATATAACCACCATCACTATATAACCACCATCACTATATAACCACCATCACTATATAACCATCACTATATAACCACCATCACTATATAACCATCATCACTATATAAACCATCATCACTATATAACCACCATCAATATAGACCCACCATCACTATATAACCACCACCACTATATAACCACCATCACTATATCACCATCATCACTATATAACCATCATCACTATATAACCACCATCACTATATAACCACCATCACTATATAACCACCATCACTATATCACCCCTCATCACTATATAACCACCATCACTATATAACCACCATCACTATATAACCACCATCACTATAACCACCATCACTATATAAACCACCATCACTATATAATCACCATCACTATATAACCACCATCACTTATATAACCACCATCACTTTATCACCACCATCACTATATAACCACCATCACTATATAACCACCATCACTATATAACCACCATCACTATATAACACCATCACTATATAACCACCATCACTATATAACCACCATCACTATATAACCACCATCACTTTATCACCACCATCACTATATAACCACCATCACATATATAAGCACCATCACTATATAACCACCATCACTATATAACCACCATCACTATATAACCACCATCACTATATAACCATCACTATATAACCACCATCACTATATAACCATCATCACTATATAACCACCATCACTATATAACCACCATCAATATAGACCACCATCACTATATAACCACCACCACTATATAACCACCATCACTATATCACCATCATCACTATATAACCATCACTATATAACCACCATCACTATATAACCTTACTATATAACCACCATCACTATATAACCATCATCACTATATAACCACCATCACTATATAACCACCATCACTATATAACCACCATCACTATATAACCATCATCACTATATAAACCACCATCACTATATAACCATCATCACTATATAACCACCATCACTATATAACCACCATCACTATATAACCACCATCACTATATAACCACCATCACTATATAACCACCATCACTATATAACCACCATCACTATATAACCATCATCACTATATAACCACCATCACTATATAACCACCATCACTATATAACCATCATCACTATATAACCATCATCACTATATACCACCATCACTATATAACAAACACTATATAACCACCATATAAACCACCATCACTATATCACCACCATCACTATATAACCACCATCACTATATAACCACCATCACCTCTTTAAACCTCGCCTTTAACTTTAATAAATTACTCCATTTGAAAGTTTTTTACTAAATATTAAAATTCAAAAAGTGTTCATTTTATCTTAATTTGTAATATACTTAAAACTACAAACTTTACTTACTTATAAATTTAAAACATTTCGCTAGGGGGTTAATCTTCGTGTAGGCATCCACAGGTTTTTTTTTTCTTCTTCACAAAATACTCGGTATAATACGTCACTTTTAAGGTCTAATCTGACACTTATAAAAGTTCTTATTTCACTTTATGTTATTTATCGTGAATAAATGTTAATAGACTTAGTTTAGGTAGGACACTCATACATGAAGTCACAGCGAGAGAGCGGTATACCCTTCCCTTACCACGTCCAAAGACACACTGGTGTTAAGACAAAAACTCGATCCCAGTTCCCCCAGTTCAACGCCACTATGCCAAGTACCACCCAAATTTTAACTATTAACACCAATTTCGTCTCCATTTAGCGATATATTTACAATTACCGGATGAATATATTAATAATTAGATATATTTAACAAGTTGGAGTTAAATAAATGTTATATGCTTGCGTTTGAAAGGAATTTGTTAGTTGCTATATCGAAGTTCCTTACTTTTTTGTGTGTGTATGTTTTCAAGGACACTAAGCTGTCTACCTCTCCTATAAACGATTTATCAATTTCTGGCAGCTGAAGCTTAGCGATTTATTTCAATAGACTTTTATTGAAGACAGACACTATTAAAAATAATAAGATATATCGATATACCATAATAAATCAATGTAAATATGTCAAACCACGAATAAGCAGTTTGTAAAGTTAGACTTTATCCAACTCCTGTATACAACAATTCACAAGTACAATCATCTAAGTTGTATTAAATTGGTTAATACATATAGCGAATCTACCTATTAGAAGGGAAATGACAGGGCCGGATTTACCTACTTGTGGGCCCTAGGCCAAACTCATCAGTGGGCCCCCAAATGTATAGAAATGTTTGCATGTTTCAAATATATATATATATATATATATATATATATATATATATATATATATATATATATATATATATATATATATATATATATATTTCAAGTAAATCCACAATGAAAACGTGGATAAGATAAATCTTGATAAAGACGAAAGCTAAGATGCTCCGTTGTTTCCCTTTGCCCGTGTGATTTTATCAAGATATATATATATATATATATATATATATATATATATATATATATATATATATATATATATATATATATATATATATATATATAAGGAAGAGGAGAACCATAGGGTAAACACAAACATGTTGACCACGTGGGCTTCTTTTAATCGCTAACGTTCCGGAAATAATTCTTTTCCATCATCAGATCTTAAAAACACAAAAGTTTTGAAAAGTAAAACAAGATTAAAAAGCCCACGTGGTCAAGATGTTTGTGTTTACCCTCTGGTTCTCCTCTTCGTTATAAAACTACGCTTTCCACCTAACAAGTCTATTACTATATTACTATAATTATTTTGCAATGGCCAACTGTCGTCAAATATTACATAAGATCATAAAGTTATAATGTAAGAAATAAGAATTTCAACACAATGTGACACATCATTACTTTTAATCAAATCAGTTCTATATCGTGTACATCTTATATGTGGGAATAATGAAAGAAATACAATTAACTTGAAGCATACTCAATTTTGCCAGCACATGAAGTACAGCAAGCTGTGTGAATTTCAAAATAACTTCTTCCAACTTTTTTTCATGGAAAATTTGTCAATGATACTGTTAGTGTCAAGGGATTGTAGGAGGCCAGACTCAATGCATAATAATGAAAGTGAGTTTAATCTGGTTTGTCCCACGGTAGACCTCAGGTGATTTTTCACCCTAGATAGAGTAGAGAAAGACCTCTCCTTCACAATTTGTAATGGGGATGGTAAGGAAAATTTACCAAGATACTAATGTTTGGAAAGGCAGTTGTCAAAATACCATCTTTGGACCTCAGCAAAGTGGAGATGTTTGTCACTGACCTGTCAGATTCAGAAGACAAATGTCTTTAAATTGCAAAACTCATCTAGAACAGATGTTCCAGGTCACTGAATAGGTACTGACAACCAATTCCAGTTGGGCTTTGAGATCATCATATTTCAGACTGTCATACTCCGTTAAGAAGCTAAACAGCTTCTTTATTTCTGAGTAGGCATTCACTCTGTGCTCTAATTCATTCCTAAGGCAATCTATATGGTGTAGAAATTGTCCACCTTGAACTTCTCACGTGGATCAAGTTGAGTTTCAATGCCAACTGATTCACCAAAGAAATGGTTTCTTTTGTTCTTGTGTCTCGACAGGCTCAGCCAAAGCCCTCGCCTGATCCTCTACTTCATCAAGCTGAGGCTGAGAACATATTGACTGGCTGAGCGAGCTGTCAGCAAACCAACGGTAACCCTGACACGTACTGAACGTGAAACAATCCTGTCCTTCACATGTCAAGGCGCTGAAGGTTTCTTGAACCTCTTCTCTCTCTCCAGTATATATGTATGTATAGATAGATATATAGATAGATAGATAGATCGATGGTGGGACACGGACATTTAAAAAATGTATATATATATTTTTTTATTATCTTATTTCATCTTATTTTCTTCATCTTACTATAGGGCCTAGTCCGTGGCACACCTGAGAACCACCCCATGGCCCACCAGTTGACGACCACCCGGCCCTATACTTATTGTACAGGGGCCCCATACTCCGGGCCTATACTTATTGTACAGGGGCCCCATACCGGGCCTATACTTATTGGAAGCCCCATACTCCGGCCCTATACTTATTGTACAGGCCCCATACTCAGACCTATACTTATTGGAGAAATGTACTCGGGCCTATACTTATTGCAATAGTTCATACCCGGCCCTATACTTTATTGTACAGGCCCTATACTCCGGGCCTATACTTATTGTACAGGCCCCCATATCGGCCTATACTTGTTCTACGCCAGCGGCCCCATACCCGGGCCCATACTTATTGTACAGGGGCCCCCATACCCGGGGCCATACTATTGTACAGGGGCCCCTACCTGCCCTATACTTATTGTACAAGGCCCCATACTCCGGGCCCTATACTTATTGTACAGGCCCCATACCTGGGCCTATACTTATTGTACAGGGGCCCCATACTCCGGCCCATACTTATTGTACAGGGCCCCATACTCGGGCCTATACTTATAGTGCAGGGGTCTATACCCGGCCCTATACTTATTGTACAGGGCCCATACTCCGGCCCTATATTATTGCAATGGCCCCATACCGGCCCTATACTTATTGTAAAAGGCCCTACATTCCGGCCCTATACTTATTGTACAGGGCCCATACCTGGCCCTATACTTATACAGGCCCCATACTCCGCCCCATTTTATTGTACAGGCCCATACTCAGGCCTATACTTTATTGTACAGGGCCCCATACCTGGGCCCTATATTTATTGCAGGGGCCCCATACTCCACCTATACTTATTGTACAGGGCCTCTGCACTCGGCCCTATACTTATTAAAAAAGGGTTCCATACTCCGGGCCCTATACTTATTGTACAAGGGCCCCACACCCGGGCCCTATACTTATTGTACAGGGCCCCATACTGGCTGTACAGGGCCCCATACCCGGGCCCTATACTTATTGTACAGGGCCCCATACTCCGCCCTATACTTATTAAAATAGGCCCCATACTCCGGCCTATACTTATTGTACAGGGCCCCATACTCCAGCCCCATACTTATTGCACAGCCCCATACCCGGCCCTATACTTATTGAACAGTCTCATACTCCGGGCCCCATACATATTAAAGCAGGGCCCCATACCCGGGCTCTATGAGTTGTACAGGGCCCCATACTCCGCCCTATTTATTAAAAGACTTCATACTCCGGCCCTATACTTATTGTACAGGGCCCCCATACTCCTATACTTATAGTACACAGGGCCCCATACCCGGCCCTATACTATTAGAACAGGGCCCCATATACCCGGCCCATACTTTATTGCAGGCAAATCCAGGCCCCATACTATTGTGACAGGGCCCCATACTCCGACCTATACTTATTGTACAGGGGCCCCATACCTGGGCCCTATACTATTAAAGGCCCCCATAGCCATATTATTGTAAGGGCCTATAGCCCTACACTTATTGTAATAGGGCCCCATACCCGCCTATACTTATTGTACAGGGCCCCATACTCCGGCCTATACTTATTGTACAGGGGCCCCATACTCAGGCCTATACTTATTGTGCCAGGCCCCTGATACCCGGGCCCTATACTTATTGTACAGGGGCCCCATACCCGGCCCTATACTTATTGCAAGGGGCCCCATACTCCGGGCCCTATACTTATTGTACAGGGCCCCATACCTGGGCCCTATACTTAGTTGTACAGGCCCCATACCCCGGCCCTATACTTCTGTACAGGCCCTACCTGGGCCTATACTTATTGCAATAGGCCCCATACCTGGCCCTATACTTATTGCAGGGCCCCATACTCCGGCCCTATATACTATTGTACAGGGCCCCATACCCGGGCCCTATACTTATTGCAGGGCCCTCCGGGCCTATCATTGTACAGGCTCCACCGGCCCTATACTTATTGTACAGGGGGCCCCATACCTGGGCCCTATACTTATTGCAGGGGCCCCTCTCCGGCCTATACTTAGGGCCCATACCTGGCCCCTATACTTATTGTACAGGCCCTCAGGCCCCATACCCGGCCCTATACTATTGTACAGGGCCCCATACCCGGCCCATACTTATTGTCAGGCCCATCAGCCTATACTTATTGTGGGCCCCATACCCGGGCCCTACTTATTGAACAGGCCCATACCTGGCCCTATACTTATTGTACAGGCCCCATACCCGGGCCTATACTTATTGTACAGGGGCCCCATACTCTGGGCCTACTTATTGCACAGGGCCCATACCTGGGCCTATACTGTTGTACAGGGGCCCCATATCAGCCTATACTTATTGTCAGGCCCTACACTCGGGCCTACTTGTTAACCCTCGGGCCCTATACTTATTGTACAGGGGCCCCATACCCGGGCCCTATACTTTGCAGGGGCTCCCATACTCCGGCCCTATACTTATTGAATAGGGCCCCATACCCGGGCCCTATACTATTAAAAGGCCCTCATACCTGGGCCCCATACTTAGCCAGGGGCCCTATACTCCGGGCCCATATTCTATTGTACAGGGGCCCATACCCGGCCCCATACTTACAGGGCCCCATACCCGGGCCCTATACTTATTGTACAGCCTATACCTGGGCCCTATACTTATTGTACAGGCCCCATACCTGGGCCCTATTTTTTGTACAGGGCCCTACCTGGGCC